CAAGAGAGTAGAAATGGCTCAGCTTGGTCCAACTGCCTCTAAGTGAATGTGTTTTTTATCACCTAATTGTTTTTGTGTTTGCACCTCTACACTGTTTATGTCCGTGCTGTAATATATTTCCCTGTCATGTTTATGTGCGCTCTTGTTTTAAACCATATAATAATCATTTTATTTGAAGAGGAATCATCATTGTGGGCACATCCTGTTTACAGGGGCGGTTAATAATATTTTCAAAGGCCAATTTGTTCAATTAGGTACAAACACATTGAATAGTTTACAGTAGGATGTTAACTTTAAAGACTCTCCTTTAATAGGTAAATGTATTGTAGCTCTGGTAGAAACATAAAAACACACGTTGTTCCTAAGTACAAATGAGCCAGTGTGCTTTACTGCTGCAGGACGTGTTTTCTGAAGCAACAGCAAGGTTGACATTTGTTTTTCTTCGCAGACTAACAGCACTCACGTCTGGCTTTTTTTCCATGTGAATCAGCGGCTCCAAAAGTTGTTAGCTATTGTTGCTTAGACAGGTATCGTAATTACATTCTCCCTGATTCAGTTCCTATCTTTGTTCGGCCCTAGTAAGGCTCCCTAAGACTCTATTATGTATGTGACAGTTGGAACAAAAGCCCAGCATTCAGTGGTTTGACACTGACATTTGCCATTTTATTCCAAAGTCCTCTAAGTCAGAAATCCTTCAGTGTTTTTTGTGTTATGAGATATCAAGGTGATCTTTGTTGTAAATAAGCTTCAGCTAAACCTATATTATCTTTGAAGAAAGAACGTAATTACCCTTCTGCTGGATCAAATCCCAGGTATGAAGGGTGAGAGTGGGGTAGACGTGGGCGGTCTGCCAGTCCATCACAGGACCATACATGTAGAGAAGGACAAATATGGTCAAATTAGAGTCCAAACATCATAATCTCCTACTGATCATGTGAACATGAACACTCTATACCAGTGTTGCGTTCACATTTTTGTCTTAGGATCTGCTTTGAAAACCTTGAACATACATTTACTCATATGGAATTCAAATAGGGTCACCTGAAATGTCTGGTAACTGATGCAAAAAAATCAGTTAAAATTTAAAATAATATTTTTTTCTTGTTATTATTTTCAAAAGTATAATTATAAACAGCACAGACAATGAAACAACTTAAGTTCAAATAAAATGCAGAATATGAAAATCTCTTAGCTCGAACATTCAGTGTCTAATCTGGCTACTTCGTATTGACAACACAGTATAACGAACATGATCAAAAATGAATTCTAGAAAAAAAAAATGTCTCCGTGATGTCAAAACCCAAAACAGGTTAGGAACCACTGCTTTACAGGATAGTGAGTGGACTTAAAGTCGGACCAAGTAGTGGTTCAACTGGTACAGTTGACAGTGTATCCGAGGTCCTCGTGTAGAGTAGAGAAACTAACAACCATTCACACTCTTCACAAACATAATCAATTAGAGCAGCTTTTTACTCTGTTCTTCAGTCTAAACCATTCAGTCCCCAGCCTTCTGTTTTTCTTTCAGCCTCAGCCTAAACCATGTTACCTGTGTACCATGAACATACCACGTGGTAATGTTCTTTCTTGATCCAGAACCATAATGGTTTAATCAAACAGATCCTGACATGCTGTTTATCATTTCAGTCTTTAAACAATTGCCCCTCTTGTTTATAGTTGTGTCTTTCGGCTGAGGAGAGAGACACAGGAAACTGTTGTCACCTGCTGTCACTGTTTTCTGCCATCTGTTTTACAGATCTGTTGATGAAGCAGTGAAAAGCATGTTAGTGTGAGGCAAAATGAGCGTCCATTAATCACTCTGTCACATGCTTGACAACGGTGATGATGTAGCTGTGTCTGCTCATCTGACTGGCACTGATATTAGCCACACTTTTTTTTTCCTTCTGGGCTGTAAATCCCACTTCTTACGTGTCATCAAGAATGTTTGCAGTTGTGATGTTCGTGCTAGGAGTCAACTCATTTACATTAAAGCTGCTAACACTACACCACAGTTGTTGGAACAGTTGTTGGTTGTTACTGGTCTTCCAGGAGAATGCAGAATGTGTTGTTTCTGTTACTGGTCTTCCAGGAGAATGCAGAGGTTATTTTTCTCTTCTACACTGTCCCTCTTTTACAGACAGGACTGTTGTTGAGCTTTTGATTTAAAACAGCACTAAACTCTGTCTAACAGTAAGATTTAATGCAGATGTAGTTTCTACAGCTACATTAGTTTCTCAGACTAATTCATACAGTGCTGCTATTCTCACTGAACAAAGGAAATAAAATCGGTGGATTTCATCTTTTTCTTACATAAACAAATTGCTTAAACCAGCTTTGGCTTTAACAGTGACTGTGGTGCGTTTAATGTCGGGTAGTAAACAGTTGCAGGAAGAATTAAACCAAAATCATAATTTTTAATTACATTTGAACAACAGAATCAGAATCATCTTTATGTAAGTATGGGCACATACAAGGAATTTGACTCTGGTTTCACGTAGCTTTGGTGATTTAATAAAAAAAGGTACATTTAACATGATAAAAATAAGAAAACAATACAACTACATACTTACATATCTACATATATACACACATATCAATTTTCTTTTGTTTGGGGTTTTTATTTTGAAAGAGAAAATGATATATGCACATATACATTAATACATGCATGTGTACTTACATACAGACATACATACATACATACATACATATGTATATTTACATCAAATGCATGTTAGATGGTGGGGTATGGATATATGAACAGCAGTGTAAATACTGTGTGTAGAGAAATATATATCTACATAAACCTGCACAGAAAAGAAGAGAAATTTAAATAAATAAAACAATACTATATAAGTACTTCAGTGAAAATGTCAATCTTATTCAACATTCAGTCTACTTTGAATATAGATTTTCTTCATTTCTTACAGGTACGTTGTTCTGTTTGTTTGTATTTTTGGATGTAAACAGACCTGAGCTCCATTTAGACACACTAAAAAGCATAAAATGCTAATGCCTTTTATTTTCAACTCCCAAGTCCTACTTCAAATTAGTTTAATCCCATTTGACACCATGCTTCGAAAAACAATGACCCAGGCTAGTCATAAATGTTTATTATCTTTCTATATTCGCTGACAGCTTAGCTGGAATCGCAATGAGTTGGTCCGAGGCTTTCACATAAAATAATACACAAGGCTGTTAAGCTGTGCTTTACATCTGTAACGACAGGTGTGAGTAGGACCTCTGGCACAACCTGGCACTTCAACTGCATTAAAACAGGCAGTGGTAGAATTTTAAAAATGCTACTTAGTGGAATAACCTATCCAAGCACAGAGGACACTCCTGCCTGACTGTGCTAAATATGAATAATGATTCAAAGAGAGGTTAAAACAGGGATTTCACACCAACTGATAAGCCTTGACTTCAAATAACAGCCATTTTACACGTCTGGCGGGAAAAGAGTTTGTCACACTATTATGTCACGGGTGTTAATTATAATAATTAAGAAAAAACACCATAGAGCCACATAAAACAAACTCAGTCATTTTATTGTTTCGAAGGAAGTCGTGCCCAGTCAATTTGAACAGCAACATCACATTTGCATCAACTGTTTTCCTTATCAGAACTAAGCAACTGTACTTAATAAATACATTAAAAGTGGCAACCAAACGCATGACTGCGTCAGTTCTCTTATTGTTCCCTCAGCACTACTGTGGCTGTGGAAGGCTAGCTCATCAGGCAGCTAAGGTGGAGCCAGGCCATTAAAACACACATTATATTCCTGAAACAATTGTCATTCCCAGCACCCTGTGGTGATGTCATCTCCGCTGCCGATTGGCTGAAAGAGATGGATAAGGAAATCACTTTTACTGCTGGGTTAGATCTGCTTTGGTGGGCCCAACTTTGGTCCCTCATAAGGGGAGTCCCATATTATTATTAGGGCCACAAGTCAATGTTGTTGCCATGATGACCAGATATCTCTTGAAAAATGGTTTTGTAGCAACATGGTTTTTTTTATGGTGAAGTTAAATATATAAGCTTTATGTTTGCTAAAAAGCTAGCCTTGCTTAATGTAAATCTAAAATGCACACAGTCCAGTCACCTCATGGAGCGAGCCTATGTAGCTGCCATTTTATTAGAGAGTGCACACTGAGGTTTGCCATTGTTTTGTTGAGTTCACAGGAAAAAGGTCAGAATGGGAGCGAGTATTTGCGGCGCCACGCTGTTAGCATGGCTACAGGTTATCCCCATACAATCATATTCAATGGTATATGTTTAGTATAAAGATTCTAGATGGTTTTCTTTATGTTTTACCAATATAATAATTCCTTAAATTAGTCAGCCAGCTGTGTGTCATCACAGTACCACGGAGGTTTCTAAGGTAATACTGCCTTTGGACTTTGGACATGCACATTGTCAATTATTTCATTTTCAAGCATACTAACAGTCTAAATATAAATATTAAAATATACCCATTTTAAAAAATGACATGGTACTTTTTTACCACCTATATATTATGTAATTCTACTCACTAAGCTTGCCACATTTCATGGAAATGGAGGCTGTGGATGGTATAACAGTTTATCAGCTGTGAAAGTGAAAATGCCATAGTGCGGCTTGTACTCCTTCACACACAGATGTGTGTATAGAAGAAAGTAGAAATCAATAAATATATGGATTTACATAAGTCTAAGTATCACATAAAAAAGGAGCACCTGCTTTATGACGGTGTCTTCCTCATATTTATTACGTCCTACCAGTCTGGTACTTGCCACTACACATATGGAGTATTCAGAAAAGTACTTTGGGCTTGCAGCCTACATTCAGTACGGCTTATATGACTTATTTTAAATCATCCATTGAACCTAAAGATGGGATACCGCTTATGCACGATGTGGCTTTATATCCATGAGATGCTGTAATTTTTTCCAACCTTTTCTTCATTTAAAAAGTTGGTGATCTGAACGAGTTCTTACCCCCGTGAGTAACGCGGCACCCGGGTGGAAGAGGTGCGGGAGCCAGCAACAAGAGCGTAACAGGACATCGACAGTCAGTCCCTCCTTTTCCTCCTCCTCCCGTTCTGCTTTTCCATCCCTCCACCCAATCTCCACTCACCGTGGTCATTCTCAGAAGAGTTGTCGCCTGACTAGTGACATGTGGATGCGTGTAATGGAGATGGATGGTTGCTGGCTCTGCCACACCATGGAACAGGCCGACTCTCCCTTAACGCCTGTCTGCCGTCCTCCATCTGTCTCCCCGTGACAGCAGCTCAACCCCCAGAAGAGAGCCCAGGCTGAATGTCGACCTGATCAGGTGTGTGAGATTGAGTGTGTGCTTATTTAAAAGACTGGCTTTCAGGAGAGAAAATGAAGTGGAAAAACCATGTTCATCAAGTTTGACTAAAATAAAGGAGCCATGTCAAATATAGAGACAAATCAAGGAACAACAAACGAGTGCTAACAGTAAGATGCAGCACGGCAGCCTGAGAGACGCTGTTTATCCTCATGTTTATTCTAATGCATTTTGCATCTGTGTTTTCCTTCTCAGGATGGCTTCACACCAGGAACTATAGTCACTTTGCAGTCTAAGCACTGACATGCCGACTTGTTAAATCAAGCTTCTGGATTTATGACAATTTTCCTTGTAGCCTGGAACAAAATATGTTTACTGGGACTTGAGGAGAACCAGTCCAACTTTTTTCAGAATAATTTAAAAAATCTTTTAATTTAAACTCAACTGAAAATTAACTGGAATTTCAGTATAAACTATATTTTATATAATTTGACAGAAAGCACTTCAGAGCAACGTTAAGAATAAATCCAATGTGATTAATACAAGAGTTGAACCACAGAGATGTATTTTAGAAAACAAACAAACAAGATTTTCTCTCTTTCTTCTTTGGCTCCCATAAAATGAATCTTCTGAGCACTTAAAATGAAGTGTTCTAAAACAGTAATGTCAATAAGAATCTGTTTTGTTGGTTCAGAATAGAACAGACAAACAGAGACCTTTTCTTTTACAACATTGATCCATTCAGTATCTGTTCATCTTGTCCAAACAAACCCTACCATGGCACAGCTAAGCTAAGCTGTACACATACCTCAACTGCATTAAATAAAATCCATCCATCCATTTTCGTCCGCTTATCTGTTACTGGGTCGTGGGGGCAGCAGTCTCCACGACCGCCACCCAAAACACACTGCACCGTACCAGCCCCCCCTGAACCTTCCTGTGGGTGGTGAGTCCACTGGAAGGTACCAACCGCCCTAACCTGGATTCACTCTAACCCAGGAGGTGAACCCTGGGGTTCCACACCAATGACAGAGACACTGGCTCTGGGCCAAAGCACCACGCATTAAATAAAAGTGAAATAAAAATGAATATTCTAATTCTCTGCTGTCATACCCACTGCTGTACCCTAGTTCTAAATAGTAAACGTGATGAGGTTCTGAACATCACCTGGCACCCATCAAAAAGAAGTTCAGTTCATCAAAATAAGGGACAGGATTGTACCATGAAACCCCTGGTGACAGTGAACAGGCAGGAGTGTAGCAGGAGGTAGAGTGCTCTGTGTTAGTGCTCCTTCTCCTTCCTGTCGAATGCTGAAAGAACTGTGAGGATAGTGATTATTTTTCCTAACTTCAGTTTTAACTAAGATGAACCTCTCCCTTTCAACAGGAAACTGAAAGCTGCTTGAGTGAAGCTTGACCTGGTGACAAGAATCACTAAATATTTGATAAATAAATATAAGGAGAGCAGCAGGTGATCAAGGGAGGTGGGCGCTACAGGGGGGTAGGAGCAGCAGGGTGATGAGGAGTGGTGAAGTAGTGGTAGGTGAAGGCAATTAGCATGATCACGAGTGACTCTTATCTTAGCATAGCTTAGCTTAGCTTATCTTGCCTAATGTGTATGGCTTCAGGGTTCAGGGTGCCTGTTACCTTCACATAAGCACTTGTTTTTTTGTTTTTTTTAAAGAAGAAAAAAAAGGAAAATGAAGGCCTTACAAAAGTTTGTGAGTAACTGTCTTAAGTAAAACAGTTGCTTTGCAACTTCCCTCTTGCTGTGCCTTAACATCACACACTTCCTTAGTTGCTTTGTACCCTGCAGTCTGTGAATCTTTAAAGAAATGATAAACCTCCGGCCAATTTAGCGAATACTGTAACTTGTTATGTCATCAATATTTAATTGAGTTCAGAGACCTCGGCCTTTGAATTATTAACAGTGCTAGCGGGTGTGTGAGCCCACACTGCCCACAAATCCCACTGTGACAATATGAAAAAAAAATCCCTCTTATATATACAGTATATATTTGTGTTGGGCGATGAGTCATTGGTCAGTGTTCATGATTAAATGTTTTAATCACGATAAACTGCATTTCTATGCTCAGTATTTAATGGTGAATAAAAACATTAATGCATTATGCATTTTATTTCAAAAGTACTTTTATATGAACAAAAGTAGCTGAGAAACACTTCAAACTCCCAGGGATCTGTTGAAGGTCAAATCAACAAAGCACTGTGTCCAAGGAATAAGATTTGTTTTTAAACCCTAAAAAGAATCTAGTCATTATTTATTTTTTATATAATTAGAGAGGGTATAAAAAAATTAGATATTTCTAAGTGAGAAGTCCTTTTGAAAATAAAACGTTTTTAAAACTTTGAAAAGGTTTTCCTTATTTAAGAATATTAGCTGAACACAAATGTATTAATTCATTTTAAGAATATTTAAATAACATTTATATTGAGTCTAGTAGGGTTTTTTTAACAGTACACAACTCTACACAAATTTAAAAATTCCTCACACACACATACACAAAATCAAGCCAATACAACCTAAAGACCAGTAACAACAATACTCCGTACATGTTACAGTTCTAAGCATTTTTGTCTTTTCTCAAATATTCCGAAGCAATGTAATGCAGAGGGTCCTTGGTTTACGACATCATGTTTTTGGGAACTTTTTTGTTCCCCTTTATTATGGCTCTCAAGCATAAGTCAGACTCTTGTGATGTTTTTATTTCCTAGATCACGATGTTACCACTAGGGGTGACATAGATACGTAAGTACTTGTGCAGAGTATGTGAGTTCTGAGTTACAATAAGCAAGTTAAGTCACGCCTTAGGAAGAGAATTCCAATTTAAGTCAAGGAGCCAATTTAATAATGGTTTGATGTTGTTTTTCTTACAATAAAATATGCCACATTATTAGTATGTAACACTAAAAGTGAAAGTGAACTACTTGTCATTGTGACACAACACACCACTGCACACCACAGTGAACAGGGAGCAGCTCAAAGGTCCGGGAGGCAGTGTGTGGGAACGGTCCTCTTCTTTGACCACCAAGCCACCACTGCCCCTACTACTGATAATAATAATAATAATAATAATACTATCATCAGTGTCATAAACATTATTGTGAAACACATAACAACACCAGGTTTTTAACCACCTGTGTGCTGGAATATTTATGCTTTGATTAATTGACTTGAAGTCAGGGACATGATTCATCTGTGGTCTCTTCGGTGAGTTCTCTAGCTCACTGTCTGCATTCAGCAGCAGCCATGGAAACTATGGACCAGTGATTCCTGATTCTGTAGATTGGAATCATTAACCCTGATGACTCAGAGACCGACCAAATGTAATTTGTGTGTATTCAAAGCCAGTCAGCAAGCACTTTCAAAACAATCATTTTAACCTTTCCTTAGATTCTGTTTTATTTGATGCCTTTATTAAAAATGTTTTCTCTGTTTTACTTTTCTCTTTTTGTTCGCCCACCTTTCTGACTCTTTTATCAACCTTTCTGACGTTATTACCGTTAAATTGTACCTTGCATTTTGTGAACTTTTTGTTAGTCCAGAGTTTAAATCAAAGAAAAAAATCTTTGCCTCAGATTTTGTAGCAATCTAAAATAAAAAAAACAAACTAGTTCCAATTGCAGAGTCTCTCACAATGACAAGTACACAGCTAGAGCACACTGCATCAGAAAATGACATCTCTCTATTTATATTGATTGATTCCTGTCGAGCCTTGTGTGTGAAATGCACATTTACTGAGTGGCTGGTACAAAAGGGTAAGCACATATACTGTAGATAAGGGCCAAGCTTCACTAGTGACATGCCTGGCTTGTAGGAAAAAGCAGATCATTCAGGACAATCTATTCCTACTGCTGTCAGTCACATAGCAGCCGTCAATTCAGAGGTGACTGCTCTGGAGGACCACAATGTTCTGTGAATACCATTTCCATTTAATTATTGCAATGAAATTGACAGCAATATGTGGCTTTGTGTACCTTTTGCACCGTTTGCAGGCAGATAGGTAAATACATATTTTTTTTAAAAGCCAACATCATATAAAGGTTAGGAGAAGCTAATGGAACTCAGGTCCTGAAAGTGGGCAACAGAAAGCCTCTTTTAAAGCCCTCATGTTCATTGTTAAATAAGATGACCCTCACTTGGAAAAGTGACAGGAAAACACTTTTTTTCCATGGAATGTAAAAGTGACTTTAATGGATAGATAGACATACTTTATTGATCCCAGGATGGGAAATTACAGTAATATCAGTCCTAGTAACAAGTAACTGACAAGCTTTGACAAGCTTTGTTCATAATTGAACAAAGTCACAAAGGCCATTTACTTTTTCCTCCCTGCCTTTTCCCTCCTGCTGTAAAGTTAAAAGCATTTGGATTTAATGTAGACACAAGTACCGTAATGTCTTTTCTTACCTATAAAATGCATTAATTATTCATTTTAACCTGCGGTAATACTGTATATAATCACAATGGTTATGACATTTTCAATTCTTGATGTATTTTATTCATTTTCTTTTTCTATTTGGTCTATTTAGTTATTCCTTTAATTCAAATTAATCTTCAACACAAAATTCTGGGAATGTTTACAAATCTTTTTTAAGGTGTATCAGTTTGTGTCTCATGTTTCAGATCATGTGTCTGTCTGGCGAAAAAATATATCTGGATCTGATTTGTTTTAAGAGTGATCATTCCCAAAACATTGTAGCCTAAACATACTACTCAACAGGGCTGTAATAAATATAATATTTGTTTGTTTTCTGTTTCTTTGGGTTTTTTTTTTCTTCAAAATCAGTGGATAGAAATATTTCTGGCACATTACTAATAATAAAATTAAAGTCTTGTGGATTTTTTTTCTTCCTGTAGAAACAGGTTCCTGTTACTTGTGTGATTGCTGCAGTGTAATCAAGGTTTTACAGCTGAAAACATTTTTAAAAAAATGTTTCGAATAATTACAGCCAATCAGTTGCATTTAGCTGACTCTAACTATTGCCCTCATTGGTGGAACTCCCACATCTCCATGTCTACCCTGGTAGCTCCAACATTTTTAGCCTATTATATCCACTACACATGTTAGAACCACCTCAACCCTGCCTCTCTAACCACATCTCCAAACTAACTGTTCCTCTGATCTGCCTAATTATTATGGTGTCTGTCCTGGTCACTCCACTCATTCTGAACTCTGCCACCATCCATGAATCATAGCAAGTTTTGCCACAGCTAATAGAACTTGCTTCCCAATCTAACTGCTACCTATTTGTCACACAGCGCCTGTGGCATTTGTTTCCATTATTTTTACCTGGAGA